GTGAATCCTTAAATCAGACTGGCTATTTCCTGGGGAGAGAAATTCAGAGGGGGGGGGTGGGTTCTTCTTTGCTGGCTTTGAAGATGGAGCGAGCTGCAAAGCATTTCAAGGACCTAAGAGTAACCTGAGAATGACCCCTACCCAACACCTAGCAAGAAAATGGGCACCTCAGTCCTTCAGTTTCCGGTAACTTAATTCTGTCCCTAACCTGCATGGTACTGGAAGGAGCTCTTGAGCTCCATGTCAGAATACAGTTACCTGATACATTGAAGCTTTGTGAGGTTTCTGATCCAGGGAACCCAGCTACTCTGTGCCTGGAATTTTGACCTACAGAACTGTGAGATACTAAGTGTATGTATTTTGAAGCTGTTAAATTTGTGGTAGTTTGTTATTAAGTAAACTAATATACACACTCAAAATTTTTATCTATGGATCCTTTTTTCTTTCCTGTAATTAGTCTTTTAAGATTTACTCTCTTGGCCCTCACAGATCTAATACAGTATTATTAACTATTAATGTTAATTCTGTAAATTACATCCTCAGGGCTTATTTTATAACTGAAAGTTTGTACCTTTTGGCAACCTTCACCCATTTGCCCAGCTTTTCCCCCTGCCTCTGGCAACCAGCAATCTGTTCTCTGTATCTGTGAGTGTATTTTCATGTGTTTTTTCTTTTAAAGATTCTACATATAAATGATACTATACAGTATTTGTCTTTCTCCATTTGTTGAAAACTCTCTGTAGAAAGACACCACTTTAAAATTACCACTTNTTCTTCTTTGCTGGCTTTGAAGATAGAGCGAGCTGCAAAGCATTTCAAGGACCTAAGAGTAACCTGAGAATGACCCCTACCCAACACCTAGCAAGAAAATGGGCACCTCAGTCCTTCAATTTCCGGTAACTTAATTCTGTCCCTAACCTGCATGGTACTGGAAGGAGCTCTTGAGCTCCATGTCAGAATACAGTTACCTGATACATTGAAGCTTTGTGAGGTTTCTGATCCAGGGAACCCAGCTACTCTGTGCCTGGAATTTTGACCTACAGAACTGTGAGATACTAAGTGTATGTATTTTGAAGCTGTTAAATTTGTGGTAGTTTGTTATTAAGTAAACTAATATACACACTCAAAATTTTTATCTATGGATCCTTTTTTCTTTCCTGTAATTAGTCTTTTAAGATTTACTCTCTTGGCCCTCACAGATCTAATACAGTATTATTAACTATTAATGTTAATTCTGTAAATTACATCCTCAGGGCTTATTTTATAACTGAAAGTTTGTACCTTTTGGCAACCTTCACCCATTTGCCCAGCTTTTCCCCCTGCCTCTGGCAACCAGCAATCTGTTCTCTGTATCTGTGAGTGTATTTTCATGTGTTTTTTCTTTTAAAGATTCTACATATAAATGATACTATACAGTATTTGTCTTTCTCCATTTGTTGAAAACTCTCTGTAGAAAGACACCACTTTAAAATTACCACTTATTTCATTAAACATAATGCCTTCCAGTTCTGCATGTGCTGTGCCAAATGGCAGGATTTCTCTTTTTTTCTTTCTCTTCCTCCCTTCCTCCCTTCCTCCCTTCCTTCCCTCTTTTTTCCTTTCTTGTCTTTTTTTCTTTCCTTTTCTTTTTTTCTTTCCTCTCCTTTCTTTCTTCCTCCCTCCCTCCCTTCCTTCCTCTTTCTTCTTTCTCTCTCTCTCCTTTCTTTATTTCATATTATTTTTAATTTTTTAAATCCTTACCTGAAGATATTTTTTTCTATTGCTTTTCAGAGAGAGTGGAAGGGAGAGAGAAACATCGATACGTGGGAAACATTGATTGGTTGCCTCCCTCACGCACCCCTACCTGGGGCCGGGAATGGAGCCTGCCGCCAAGGTACATGCCCTTGTCCAGAATTGAATTCGGGACCCTTCATTCCACAGGCCAAGGCTCCAACCACTGAGGCATACTGGCCAGGGCAGGGTTTCTTTCTTTTTTATGACTGAATGACATATCCTTTCGCTGTCTTTGTGTGTGTGTGTTTGTATCCTTTCCTATATCTATTCATTCGTCAATGTACACTTAGGTTTTTCCAGTGTCTTGGCAACTGTAAATAATTTAGCAATGATCATGAGAGTAGAGTTATCCCTGCATTCATATTCTGAATCTAAAGAAACTTTCTGTTGAAACAGTACCACTTTAAAATTACCTCACAAATTCAGCAAGGTATTTGTGTACATCAGGAATCCTGGTCCACAGGCATTACCAACCACAGTATGAAGAATCCACCTTAGACCTCACTCAGGGTGAGAGAAGCAACTGGATGTGGGCCTGGGTCTCCCACTGATCTCCCAATGTATGTAAATTCTGTTTAGGAATGAAAATAAGCTATCTCCACCCACTCTTTACCCTCCTTTTCACTTGTTCCTTATGGAGAGTATCTCACCCTCTTTTTTAATGATAGCTTCCTCCACATTCTATAATTACATGGGCAGGGGCAGGGTCTTCTTTGCCTAAACACTTCCAGTGTATCCATGAAAACTTCCAAAGAGCTGATGTTCAATTAATGATTGTGTAAAATAAAAACCATGAACAGAGGTCTGGTTCACTAAGGTTTATATTCTCAAACATTCTTGAAAAACATAAACAAATCCAGGTATATATCTTATAAATTTAAAAAACAAGAACTAAATGTAGTAAGGCAAACAAGAACTGACCAGTTTTATATACGAACCACATGTTTATCCATTGGTTTATAAATGAACACTTAGTTTGCTTCCGTGTCTTGGCTGGGTACAGGCAATGCTGGGTACAGGGTAGGTAATACAGTCAGTAACATTGTAATATCTAAGAATGGTTAAGATGTATACTAACTTATGGGGGCGAACACTTTCAAATTACATAAATTTTTAAACACTAAATTGTAAATCTGAAAGTAATGTAATATTGTATTTCAACTGTAATTGAAAAAATTTAAAACAGAAGTGTCCAATTTTTTCTTTATCCATGTATCTATCATCTATCAATCATCTATCTATATTTATCATCTATCATCTATCTATCTATCTATCTATCTATCTATCTATCATCATCTATCTATCATGTTTCTAACCATTTTAGTGTAAAGCTCTTCTACTCAAAAGACATTCCTATCATAAAGCCATGTTTTCCTGTTTTGGTTGACAGAAATGATGGAAGATTTCCAATCTGCATTTCAAAGACAAAACTTTTACTCTTAACTTGATGAACGGTAATAAATGTGCAATATGTGTCATCCATAAAACTATATTCTGAATCTAAATAAACATTATGTCTAAACCACCACCACTTGAAACTGCAAAAAAAATCACAAATATAAGCCATCAAGATATTTTGCACATTAGGAAACTGCTTAACAGGCCTATGCAACCAAAAAGTGAAGACTCCACCCTGACATCACTCAAGGTGAGGGCAGTGGCTGGATGTGGCCTTGGAGGGCTCACTAGCCTTGGAAGGAGTGCCAACCTTAGGTGCAGCTTTGGCTCTGGCTTCGGCTCTCTCCTCATCTACCAGAGCCTCTTCATAATGGGGTGCGAAGGTAGTGGGGACCGTATCATTGAGCTCAGCCCAAAACTCTAGGACTTTCATCTTGGTGGTCTCAGCTTGGGCTCTTGGACCCCACCGGAACTCATAGCGTGGAGGATCACTGCTGGGCACCTGCCGGTACACCAGGTATTGCTCCTGAACGAACTCTTGAGTGATAAGCTTCCTGGGTTCTCCAAATATTAAGTGACTTTTTCCATCATAGATGCCCAAATTATTCAGGAATTTCCAGGTGTCCTCCTCAGAGGCTCGGTTGCCATTCAACAAGATGAAACCCAGGACAGGCATAAGAATCCCTTTTTTAGGAAATCTGAAGCCACTACTCAGATTCCCATCCCTGCCGTTATCTTGATTGTCGACAAGGGTGTAGTAGTTACCGTTGGGCTCGACTTCTTTCAATTCCAGGCCAAAGAACACATACATGCGCTCAGAGGCTCTCCTGAGGATCTCAGGGAAGTCCTTCCTGTACCATTTGTGGACTATCTTCAGCATGTCTCCCTTTTTAATGGGCTCCTTCCTTTTATACCGATACAGCAGGTATTCTACCAACATAGTTGCCTTCTTACTTAGTAGATGTTGGCCAGAGCTCTCAGTGGAAGTTGAGGCCTGGGATGAATTTTGACTTTTTCTACCATGGCCTTTGGCTTTTACAGCAGCTGTCTCACATGAAGCACCTGCAGCGGCACCGGTGGTTGCTGGGGCACTTGGCGGCTCCTGGAGATTGCCAGCAGCAGTGGAGCTCGAGGAAGGCTCCCCCAAAAGAGAAGAGGAGGAGCAAGCGGCCTCTTCTTCCTCTCCTGCAGGGGCCTGAGCACTCTCAACACCTTGGTTCTCAGCTTTGTTTTGGCGGCGTTTGTCACGAGCACGGAGCTTACTCTTCTGACCACGAGGCATGATGGCTGTTGTTCGGGACAGCAGTCAGGGGTGTGAACCAATGGACAGGTGATTTTTGCACCTGTTAGAAGGATAATGAGATAACGTGAGCACCTTCAACAGGTATACACCACCTGGGCCCTATGGAAGGTTGCCTCTAAAGGCTTCTTTGAAGGTACTAGTCTATGGACCCACAAGGCTCCTTTTCTCCAAGTCAGCCTGTCCTCTAAGAATCCCACAGAGTTACCACAGAAACCTTAGGGTGAGTTGCCTCCTACATCCTAGCAGCCCTGCCTTGAATTTCCTCAGGTGAAGTAGGCAATGTCAGTGTGACTCCCTTTGTTCTGGCATCTGGGGTTCTTTCAGTTCATCTTCAGTATTATCATGTCAACTCAAGGTACAGTCTGGGCATCCTCCCCTCTGCTACTCTGACATTGACACCTCAGTGCTCCCTGGGACCCAGGAGAAGAAACTGGAAGGGAGCCTCCGACCACCTCCAAATTATTGGACATCCAGTGCTGAGAGCTTTGTGGGGTCCTTTTTGTCCTGAGTTCATTGGGATCCCCAGGTGTCAGTCAAGCTTCTCACCTTGTCTCCTTGTAAGGCCTGCCACTGTCCCCTTTGGCTGACTGGTGGCTGGACCTTCAGACTAAGGATTTCACCTTGTTATACCTGATATAAAAAAGTGAGGGGGAAGCTCAACCTGATAGCTCTTCCCTGAGATTACTTGAGCTGATAGTACAGGGATGGAATGGACCCTTTGATGTCTACTTTATTAAGATTTGGTACATTCTTTCAGTCCTCTCTCAGGTTCCTCCATAGGACTCCCAGTAGAAAACACCTCACAGTAAGAGCCAAGCCATCTGAGCTCCAATAAGAGGAAATGACATTGACCTTTTCTGACAGAAAGTGGTCCCTCAAGAGTGGGGGCTGTTGCAAGAGGTTTTAGGTGCTATCGTAGGGGTTTCCACACAGAATCCAAAGCCAAGGTCTAAATTCGACTGAAGCTGAGGTCATCATTTCTTCCTCAGCTTGCCTGGGACCACTCCTCTCAGACCAAGGCCCTCATTTCCTCGTTACCCCTGAGTGAGGACTGATGGGAATTCCTGGCTAACATCTATCCTTGAGGTCTACCAGCACTGAAAACAGAGAGGATTTTTGTGTGGCCCCATTGGTATGGTGGGCACAACCCTAGTGTCCTCAACGGTCTGTCCCTGACACCTGCCATAACACGAAATCCTCCCTCTGCTGACCTGTGTCTGCTCTCTTTGACCTGATCTGTCACCTCCCTGAGATGGCCCCGGAAGAAGTGAGTGCTCATTATGGCGATGTGCCTCAGTCTCTCATGTGTGAAAACACAGCTGGGACTTTATGTGGCCCCCTACTTTGTAGTACGAGTCCCCCATCGTCGCTCAGTGTAACAACCCAGAATCCAGTTAGAGACGGGGTCCCTCTTTCTGAATGACCTTCCTCCATTAAACCAAGGCCGTTACCTCTCTGAGACCACCACCTGAGGAAATAAGGGTCACCTCAGCCTGCCAGCTCTGCCCCGGGTCGCCGCCACCTTTGCTGAGTTTGGGAGTTGCCGGGGAGAGCCCGTGACTGCCTTAGTTACCTCTGGAGAGGTGGGTGGTTCGCTTTTTATCTATTTCCTTTGCCTGGCGCTTCCTAGAGCTGAGTGCAGGGGTTGCTGCTCTGTGTGGCCCCTTTAAATGGACAGAGGTCTGGCTTAAGCACTCAGGGCCCTCATGGTGAAGCCCGGTGGGGCCTAGGGGTCCCCCGCCTTTAAAATGGTGGCCACACCCATAGGGCAAGGCCTTGTCAGCAGCACACTGCAGGCCGGATTCAGTCTGAGGGCTCTGCTGGGGCCTCTCGGAGCCGCAGTGCAGGGGAGGGGTTGGGGGCCCACCTTCGTGATGGAGGGGTGTGGCTTCCTCAGGTCCCACTCAGGGTCCTCACCTTGACTCGCAGACAGTCGCCACGCCCGCGAATCCGCCCTAGGCCACAAAACGGCCAAACGCAGTGGAGCCGGAAACGGAAACGCCCTGGGCTCCCGAGCGGAAGTCGGGTGGGTCCTTTCCTGCAGGGCTGTCCAGGGTGCCTGACGGGCTGAGGCGGGGCGGTTAGGAGTCCGTGGGCCCTAGGTCCCCACTCAGGGTCCTCACTTTGTCTTCAGAGCCAGGACTCCTCTCTCTAGAGACCCGAGTGGGCCTGGCTGCAAACAAAGTCCTCACTCTCCCGAATCCACTGGGGTAGTTAGGTCACACTGCTTCTGCTCTAGGCCCTGGGCCTTGCAGGCCTGACGGGGAGCGGGGCTCTGCGTTTGTGGGAGGCACCCTCTCATTTAGCCCTGAATGTCCTCGCCTTGACTCGTTTATGAGCAAGACTCCTGTCTCTGCAGACCTGGGGTTCGATCCCTCCCTGAGACGTCACAGGCGGAATGCGTGGACTCATTCTATTCTGGGTCTCACAGGGCTAAGGAGAGTGCTGGACTCTGTGGCCCCCTCTGCTTTCTGAGGATCCCCTCATGACACTCAGGATGTCCCTATGGCTGGATTCCTTTTAGAAACCCAGTTCCTCCCTCTGCAAAAGGGATACAGCCCATGTTAGATGGAAGCCCTCACCCCGAGACTTCCCAGCCTCAAATCAGCCTGACATCTCTGCCAGGGAGGTCCCAGGGGTTCAAATCACCATTTATTTCATTTACCATAATACCCTTCAGTTCTGCTGGTGCTGTCGGAAATGGCAGGATGTCTTTCTTTTTTATGGCTGAATGATATATCCGTGTCTCCTTGTGTGTGTGTGTGTTTGAGTATCCCATTTCCTTTACCCACTCATTCCTCAACGTGCACTTAGGTTGTTTCCATGTCTTGGCAACTGTGAATAATGTTGCAATGAACATGGTGGTACAGTTATCCCTTCAGGTTAGTGGTTTTATTTTCTTTAGATAATTACCCAGTAGTGGAACTGCTGGATAAAATGGTCGTTTTATTTTTAAATTTTTGAGGAAAATGTATACTGTCTTCCATAGTGGCTGCACTAATTTATATTCCCTTAAACTCACCCATTCTTGAGTAATCTAAGGTCAACCAGGTACACAGCTTTTAAATATAGGAAAAGAAAAAGTGAATGGAATAAGGTAAACCCACAATTGAACAATTTTTACTTTTTTCTCACTCTATGTTCTGATGCCACCTATCTTTGTATGGGTTTTCTTTTCCCGTTACGAAAGATATCCCCATTCTAATGCCATGTGGTGGTGTTCAGAATCACAAAAGTGATTTAAGGACTTTCAATGTGTTTCTCAAGAAATATACCGCTTACTCCTAAACCTGATAAATGACAAGTGTGTGATTCAAGTCATCCATACACATATATTCTGAATCTAAATAAACTTTGGGTTGAAACACTACCACTTGAAAATGAACCCCCAAAATAGGTCAACAAGGTATTTGTGTACATCAGGAATCCTGGTCCACAGGCATTTCCAACCACAATGTGATGAATTCACCTCAGACCTCACTCAGGATGAGAGAAGCACCTGGATGTGGCCCTGGATTGCCCACTGACCTCCCAACAGGACTAAATTCTGCTTAGGAATGAAAACTAAGTAATATGCTATCTCCATCCTCTCTTTACACTCCTATTAAGTTGTTCCTTATGAAGTGGAGCCCATCTCATGTCTTTATATTGATAGCTTCTCCTACAGTCTATAATTGCAAGGCAGGGGCATGGGCTTCATTGCTAAACATTCCGGATGCAAGCATAAAGTCTTCCAAAGAGCTGATGCTCAATTATCGTGTAAAGTAAAAGCCATGAAACAAGAGGTCTGATTCACTAGGATTTATATTTTCAAACATTCTTGAAAAACAAGCAAATCCAGATACATTTCTTCAAAATTTACAAAACCGAAAGACTAAATGTAGTAAGGCAAACAAGAAGTGACCCGTTTTATATATATCCCAATCTTCTTTATCCATTCGTCTACACAAGAACACTTCCATGACTTGGCTGTAACAGGTAATGCTAGGTACAGGATAGGGAATATAATCAATAACATTGTAATACCTAAGCACTGTTCAGATGGCTCCTAGACTTAAGGGGGTGAACACTTTTAGGTAATATACAAGTCTAATAGATATACTGGAAACCTGAGACTAATAATGTTGTGAACTGAAATTGGAAAATAGTTTTAAAACAGAAGTGGCCATTTTTTACTTCATCTATCTATCATCTATCTATCTATCTATCTATCTATCTATCTATCTATCATCTATCTATCTATCTATCATCTATCTAATCTATTATCTATATCTATAATCTAGCTAATCTATTATCTATATCTGTCTATCATCTATCTAATCTATTATCTATATCTATCATCTATCTAATCTGTTATCTATATCATCTATCTATCATCTATCCATCCATCTATCATCTATCTATCTATCTATCTATCTATCTATCTATCTATCTATCTATCTATCTATCATCTATCTATCTATCATCTATCTAATCTATTATCTATATCTATAATCTATCTAATCTATTATCTATATCTGTCTATCATCTATCTAATCTATTATCTATATCTATCATCTATCTAATCTGTTATCTATATCATCTATCTATCTATCTATCATCTATCCATCCATCTATCATCTATCTATCTATCATCTATCTATCTATCTATCTATCTATCTATCTATCTATCTATCTATCTATCTATCTATCATCTATCTATCATCTATCTATCTATCTATCTATCTATCTATCTATCTATCTATCATCTATCTATCATCTATCATCATCTATTATCTATCATCTATGTACTGCTGCCAACTATTTTAATGTAAAGTTCTTCCACATCTCAAAAGATACTCCTATCCTAAAGCCATGTTATGCTGTTTTCGATGACAAAAGGGACTGAAAGACTTCCAATTTCTATTTAAAACACCAAACTCTTACTCCTAATCTGATAAATGGCCATAAATGTGTCACGCATGTCCTTCATAAACATATGAACTTATATTCTGGATGTAAACTAACATTATATCTAAAAGAACACCACTTGAAAATACAAATTTTGAAAACCCACACAAAGATAAGCAAACAAGATATTTTGCATATAACAATACTGCTTAACAGACCTTTCCAACTAAAAGTGAAGACTCCACCTTGACATCACTCAGGGTGAGGGCAGCTGCTGGATGTGACCTTGGAGCGCCCCTTGGCCTTGGAAGGAATGCCAGGCCTGGCTGCAGCCTGGGCTCTGGCTTGGGCTCTCTCTTCCTCATCTTTCAAAGCTTCTTCATAATAGGGGGTGAAGGCACTGGGGACGGAATCACTGAGCTTGGAGAAAAACTCCAGGACTTTCATCTTGCTGGTCTCAGCTTCGGCTCTTGGACCCCACAGGAACTCATAGCGTGGAGGATCACTGCTGGCCACCTGCCGGTACACCAGGTATTTCTCCTGCACCAAATCTTGAGTGATAAGCTTTCTGGGCTCCCCAAAAATGAAGTGAGTCTTCCCATCGTAGACATTCATCATATTCAGGAATTCCCAGATCTCCTCCTCAGAGGCACAGTTGCCATTCAAAAAGATCACACCCAGGAGAGGCATCAAAATCCCTTTGTTAGGAAACCTAAAGCCGCTGCTCAGACTCCCATCACTGCTGTCATCTTGATTGTCCATAAGGGTGTAGGAGTTACCATTGGGCTCGACTTCTTTCAATTCTAGGCCATAGACTAGATCCATGTGCTCAGAGACTCTCCTGAGGATCTCAGGGAAGTCCTTCCTGAACCATTTGTGGACTATCTTCAGCATGTCTCTCTTTCTAATGGGCTCCTTCCTTTTATACTGACACAGCAGGTACTCTACCAACATAATCGCCTTCTGAGTTAGAAGATCTAGGCCAGAGCTCTCAGTGGAAGTTGAGGCCCGGGAGGAAGTTTTACTCTTCCTACCATGGCCTTTGGCTTTTACAGCAGGTCTCTCAGATGAAGCACCTGCAGCGGCACCGGTGGTTGCTGGGGCACTTGGCCGTGCCTGGAGAGTGCCAGCAGCAGTGAAGCTTGAGGGAGGCTCCCCCAAAAGAGAAGAGGAGCAGCAAGCAGCCTCTCCTTCCTCTCCTCTAGGGGCCTGAGCACTCTCATCACCTTGGTTCTCAGCTTTATTTTGGCGGCGTTTCTCACGAGCACGGAGCTTACTCTTCTGACCACGAGGCATGATGGCTGTTGTTTGGAACAGCAGACAGGAATGTGGGCCAATGGACAGCTGGTTTGGGCACCTGGTGGATGGAAAGGAAGATGATGTGATCACCTTTAACAGTTGGATTCCACCTTGCCTTTACTGAAGGCTGCCTCTGCAGGCATCCTTGAAGGCACTACTCTAGGCTCCCACAAGGCTCCTGTTCTCCTAGTCAGTCTGTCCTCTTAAGAATCCTGCAGAGGACCCAGAGAAACTTTAGTGAGTCACATGCTGCATCCTACCAGCCCTGCCTTGAGATTACTCAGGGGTCAGTAGGCGATGTCACTATGGCCACTTTGGTTCTGGCACGTGGGGTCCTCTCTGTTCAATTTCAGTATTATGGTGTGTACTCCACACAGAGCCTGAGGACCCTCCCCACAGCTACTCTGAGGTGGACACCTCAATGCTAGCTGGGACCCAGGAGAAGGAACCGGAGAGGAGCCTCAGTCCACCTCCAAATCATTGGACACCCAGTGCTGAGAGCTTAGTGGGGTCCTTTGTGTCCTGAGTTCATTTGGAATCCCAGTTGTCAGTCAAGCTTCTCACCTTGGCTCCTTGTAAGGCTTGACACCACTCCTCTTTGGCTGACTGGTGGCTGGACCTTCAGACTAAGGATCTCAACTCCTTTAGACTGGTATAAAGAAATAAGGGGTGACGCCCAACCTGACAGCCCTTCCCTGAGAGGCTGACAGCAAAGGGTTCGAATGGATGCTTTGATATCCCCTTTATTTAGGTTTGGTTCGTTCCTCCATTGGGCTTCTGGTAGAGAACTCCTCACAGTAAGAGCCAACCCACCTGAGCTCCAGTAAGAGGAAATGAAGTTGACCTTATGTGACTGACCACAGTCTCCCAAGTATGGGGACTGTTGCAAGCATTTTGAAGTGCTATGGTAGGTGGTTCCACACAGGATCCAATTCCGAGGGGTCAATTTGACTCATGCTGAGGTCAGGATTTCTCCCTGTGATGGCCTGGGACCACTCCCCTCAGACCCAATCCCCTGCTTCCCTGTTACCCCTGAGTGAGTACTGATAGGCACTCCTGCCTGACATCTATCCTTGAGGTCTAACAGTGCTGATATTAGGGAGGATTCTTTTTTGTTTGTTTGTTTTGTTAGTCCTCAGTGAAAGTATATTTTTCCCATTGATTTTTTAAGAGACAATGGAAGGGGGAGGAGACAGAGAGAAAAACAAGGATGTGAAAGAGACACATTGACTGGTGGCCTCCCCCACAGCCCCGACTGACCAGGGATGCAACCTTCAACCCAGGAATGTGCCTAGGTGGATGCTCTAACCACTAAGCCACACAGGCTAAGGGAAGGAGCTTTTGTATGGCTCTACGGATATAGTGGGCACATCCCTAATGTCCTTAATGATCTGTCCCTGACACCTGCCACAACAGGAAATCCTCCCTCTGCTGACCTGCCTCTGCTCTCTTTGACCTGATCTGTCACCTCCCTGAGATGGCTTCGGAAAAAGTGAGTGCAACTCATTGTTAAGATATGCTCTAGTCTCCTAGGTCTGAAAACACGGCTGGGACTTTATGTGGCCCCCTACTTTGTAGGACGAGTCCCCCATCGTCGCTCACTATAACCCCNGCTCAGTGTAACAACCCAGAATCCTGTTAGAGACAGGGTCCCTCTTTCTGAATGACCTTCCTCCACTAAACCAAGGCCCTTACCTCTCTGAGATCACCACCTGAGGAAATAAAGGTCACTTCAACCTGCCAGCTCTGCCCTGGGTCGCCGCCATCTTTGCTGAGTTTGGGAGCTGTCGGGGAGAGCCCGTGACTGCCTTAGTTACGTCTGTTNGAGAGCCCGCGACTGCCTTAGTTACCTCTGTTTTTATCTGTTTCCATTGCCTGGCGCTTCCTAGAGCTGAGTGCAGGGGTTGCTGCTCTGTGTGGCCCCTTTAAATGGACAGAGGTCTGGCTTAAGCGCTCAGGGCCCTCATGGTGAAGCCCGGTGGGGCCTAGGGGTCCCCTGCCCTTAAAATGGTGGCCACACCCATAGGGCAAGGCCTTCTCGGCAGCACACTGCAGGCCGGATTCAGTCTGAGGGCTCTGCTGGGGCCTCTCGGAGCCGCAGTGCAGGGGAGGGGTTGGGGGCCCACCTTCGTGATGGAGGGGTGTGGCTTCCTCAGGTCCCACTCAGGGTCCTCACCTTGACTCGCAGACAGTCGCCACGCCCGCGAATCCGCCCTGGGCCACAAAACGGCCAAGCACAGTAGAGGCGGAAACGGAAACGCCCTGGGCTCCGGAGCGGAAGTTGGTTGGGTCCTTTCCTGCAGGGCTGTCCAGGGTGCCTGACGGGCTGAGGCGGGGCGGTAAGGAGTCCGTGGGCCCTAGGTCCCTGCTCGGGGCCCCCACTTTCTTGTCTTCAGAGCCAGGACTCCTCTCTCTATAGACTTGAGTGGGCCTGGCTGCAAACAAAGTCCTCACTCTCCCAAATCCACTGGGGTAGTTAGGGCACACTGCTTCTGCTCTAGGCCCTGGGCCTTGCAGGCCTGACAGGAGGGTCAGGACGTTGTC